TTAGCATTTCCTAAACATTTTGTTTGTTCCAGCGTTCTGTTGAGTCCTGCAGGCTATACAGTCCAGGGAGCTAAAGCTGCTGGTGTAGGCATGCCCCAGGTTAGCACACTGCTCTGAAAGCTGACCCTCATGCACAGCTCTGAATATCTGATGAACAGGTCAAACAAGGTGGGCTTTTCCCCTCAGATCTGTGGAGTTTTAATGGATAAAAAGGTGGCATGAATTCCTTCTCCCACATCCTGCTGCAAAGGCCTCTGGAAACACAAAGAGGCAATAGCACTACCAGCTGGGAGGTGTGCAGTGAAGGTGGGCTGAATGATGATGAAGGAGGAAGGAGCTCCTGGGTGTGTAATCCCTGTTAGTCTGCTTCATTCCTATCTTATGCATTAGCCACAGTAAAGGAAAGAGGCTCCCAATTTGTGATTTAGCTGCTGAGATGGCAGAGAGGATTTAAATTATTTGTTTCAAGCTGAGTTCATCGCTCCCAAGATAACTCCTCATTACCCATAAAGGAGATGACAAGATGTGATGGTTTGTGCTACAGATGAATTGGATAGATAACCTTAGTGGTTAGGGCATCAGGAAGTATTTGTGAGAGCCAAGCATTTGTGTGACCAACTTTTCATATCATTCTAAAGAACTGTGGTGAAACAGAAGAATATGGCTCTGACCTTACAGTGGAAGACAATTTCTGAGTTCATATGTGATAAATGATAGATTAGGACATCACAACTGCTGAAGGTGACTATTGAGAAAAGTCATACACATCGGGTACTAGAGAGTACAATAGAGAAACATAACCTCTGGTCATTGTCATGGAGGACCTTGATTTGGTAGCTAGGGCTGGGCCACATATTAGGTGTTTAAATACTAAGGAAGTATTTTAATACAATGACAGAAGAATGCAGAAGACAACATAAAATGTTTTTGATGCTGATGAGTGTCATTGTTGTCAAGAAGACTTGTATTTTTCATTATCTTTTCCTTATCTTGGCTTGAATTCTCAGTGAGTCTTGAATAGAGATGCCTGGATCTGCTACTTGGATGGTTCCATGGGAGGTAGGATCAATGGAGTGCTTATCAAAAAAGTTTGTGGAGACCAAAGAACTGCTCATCAGTTATTGATTTGGTCAAATATTGGTATGGATTAAAGGATGAGCTGAACAGTTTAGAGATTATATCAGCTAAAATAACTAGACCTCCATATTCAGTTTGCCTGTACTTGAGGTGCTTTAATCTGCAAAGTATATTTTTCTCACAAAAGATTAATAAAGTCTAAAGCTGCCTTCACTACTGTTTTACCATCCAATATCAAGAATACTTTACTCTCCTATGTAAATGCTTTCTTTTGTAAAAGCTCCTAAACCAACACCACAATTTCTCCATCATAAAACATTCTGCTGCTTGCCACTCTGGACCTGAGATTTTACAGCTTAGAGCTCAGAAGGTTTTGACTGAATGCAAACCTTTGGCATTGCTGAGTGTCCATAATTATATGTGTCTCCATGGTAACAACAGGGGAGAAAGTATAGCTGTATAATCCTTCTTAAGTAATACAATGTTATGTTTTTCTTGGTAGACAAAGAGATTTTAGCTAGTCATAAGCATGTTAAGCAGCCTGTGAATATCAAAGTTGCACATATACTCCTTGTCAGCAGAATGTAAATTATTTTAGCAAAATTGAAATATGTGTTGATACCTCAGGAATATAAATACAAAATTTTGGATCTTCTGTTTTGAGTAAATCTGGGTAAACTAACTTCAGATAAATCATTTCAGCAAATTTTTCTTTCTCTTAATCTTACAATTTAATAGAAAAGTCATAAGTAATCATGGCAATCTGGTTGCTTGCCAGAAAAAGAGCTAAATTATTCCTTGACTAATAAAATTGGAATTTACATTATTTTAATGTGCTATATTAATGTGTGATAACCTGAACTTGTTCATTTAAATGTTTTAGTACAGTGTAAATTATTCCAGAGCCAACATGAAATTGATGATCCTGCTGTATTTTTAAGTAGTTTTTTTTCTTGTTTTCTCATTAATTGTCTTTGGCTAGAAAAAAACAGACTATTTTAGACAACATTATGACTGACATTTAAAAACCAAAAGTATCTGGACACCATTTTTGTTTGGACACCAGCTTTCATCCTCTGAATCTTGGTAAAGACTGCAGGAACTGTAAAACTGTTGTCATATTGACAAGAAACAGCAGAAGTTGCACACTTCTGCAAGCAAAATTTAACCCAAGGCACACTTCAGCACTGATGCTTAAATAAAGCAAGCTTTGTATGACTAATCCCTCCAGCATTCAGAGTCTCTAGAGGTACATATGTGGATAGAAAATAGGTGTACCAGAAGAGACATAAACTTGAAGAATAAAAGCTATTTTGTTGAAAAAGAAAAAAATACATTTATAATACAGGCAAATATTTTCTAAAGGGGAAACTCTTTTTCCAGTTTTCCATGAGTTCTCAGGATATTCCTAATGGGACATAAAAACTGAAGAGGGAATGCAAGCATAGGTTCTGATCCCACAGCATTTTTTCTCCTACTGCTGGCCCACTGAAATTTGGCATCTGTGGTTCCCAGCCACAAAAATAATCAATTGAGTGGAAATTTGTTTTTTTTTCTGTTCTTTGTTTTCCTTCCCATCTATGAGACACATTTGGTGTTTTGATGTCCTTCACAATGTCAGAGAGTGATTATACTTAGCACAGTTTCTATTTAAAGAAATAAGACAGGATTTTCTGACAACATTACTCTGCAGATTTTTTTCTTTTTTTTATTTTTCTCTCTTCACTCAGCCTCAGGGGGCAAGGGGTAGGGACACAAGATAATTAAATAAATTAACAGTATTTTGTCCAATGATTTCATTGTGAATTCAACAAGGATAAGAATGAGGCTCTAGGTCCTGAAGAACTTAATCATGAGAAATCTGTCATAGTAAAACCCTCATTGTAAACAGGGAAAGGTCCAGTGCCAAGTTCTGCAGCCTGCATGTATTGTCCTGTTCCTGGGTACATTCACAACACAGAGTCATGGAACCAGAATAATCTAGTCTGGTTATGTGCCTTTTGCCAGCAATTTATCTTTGGAAGGAAGAGGCTATTCTGATAAATTAAATATTTCTGTGCCAGACCAGAGCTATTTGCTTTGTTCTCATTTTGTGTTGTCCTGGCAGTGCCACAGTAGGTTTCAGAATGTGAAGTTCACAGGCTCAGTAATTGTGATGACAGACAAGAAAACCTTCTGAAGTTTAAGGCTATTTAATAATAAATATGCAAGCTTAAAGTAGTTTTAACAATACACTTAGCAATATACTTTTAAATTTATGGGCCCTTTGTGTAGTTCTAGCAGGCTGCACGGGCTGGATATCATTAAATTAAAATCTCTAAGAAACCTGTGGATCTGGAATTCTGTGCGTAGGAGGGAGTGAGCTGGATGTAATTCAAGTATCATTCTTCAACAAGTACTCAAAGAACTTGTATAAAAGTATCCATGAAGGCTCTTTGCTCTTTTTCTTAGTGGAGTCTAGCTCCTGGAAGAGAAATCAACTATGGAAAACATACCATTAACACAGGATGGAGGAAGAGACCATGTCCATGGCTAGATGCCTTAACCTGCCACAGGATTCCCAAATCTCCCCAGATGGAGAAGAATTGTGGCTATAGGTGCTGTAGGCATCTATGTTGAAACTTGCAATAGATTCCATGTTGTCAGCAGAATAATTGATAGAAATTCCATCCAGACATCCCAGTTTATTCACCTCCTGGCTTGGGTTTGCCACGGGGTGGGAGGGAAGTTTCCAGTTAAGGTGCCACAAAGCCCAGACACGTTGTTTGGTGGACAACAGTGTGTCACTAGAGCTGTGTGGTGTGTGCTTAACCTGTGATGCCCTGGGAGCTGCAGCTGGAAAAGAACTGGGTTTGTTTGGGTCTTTTCCCATATGCTGCACCATCATGTTAGAGATCTGGGGAAGTACTTAAGTGACATTCCTCACAATTTCTAAAGAAAACTCCATTAAATATTATTTTCATGGTTCACTGTAAGATTTTCAAATGCTGATTAGTCACAATAGCATTTGTTAACCTAACAGGTTTGGCACAAAGCCCTTTGTTTTCCTTTATTTGAAAGGTGGGTGGGAAAATAACTTAAAGATTAAACATAATTTTTTAATTGAGTCATTCTATAATGCTTATTTTTTCATAAACAATTAAAAAAATTTAGTGATGTAGGTATATGTACTGTGCTATAGAGGATGTAAGATTTAACTGTAATAATGAGATTTTTATTTGGGGTTTTTTTACTCTGAAGACAGCTAAGAAAAATCTCTGAGCTTCCCAAAACCACTCTTTCCAAAGAAACCACAATGTTACAGAGCCCTTTCATCATCCAGCATACAGTACTGTACACACAAAAATATACACTGTACTACTTTAAATTAATTCATATTTGCAGGAGACACAGTCTGTGTGAGTATGTGCAATTATGAAATGTAACTTTTTTTTCCTCTTGACATTTTTAGCTGCCTCACCCCTTTTATTTGAACACATACATATGGTGTGTGAGAGTGAGCAAGCTCTCTGTAAATGTTTGGAAGGAGCATCTGTCAGACAATAAAACTTACAAGAAAACATGTTTCTCATTTAAAGAGTATTCACTAGAACTATTTCAGTGTTGGAATCAGTTCATTTGTATAGCTTGGAGGCATTAATAAGAGCAAAGAACTGCAAAGGCACCAGAAAACTCAAACTGTTACTAAGAATCCAAGGTATTTTTAAAAGCATTTTGTCTTTTCGGCATCTCAATCTCCTGATAAGGAATCTGAACCAGCTGACAGACAGGAAACTTCTGCTGGTCCATCCAGAGAGATTGCAAACAAGAAGATGGCACGATTTTTGCAAACCTGGAAAGTCTAAAGATTGCAATAATTGTTGGACCAAAGGGACCCTCTTCAGGCATAAATAGCAAGACTCCTACTGTCTTCTCTTGCAGACCAACTCAGCTGCCAGCAAAAGCAGGTGCTCTCCCCCTGCCAGTGCTCCAGAGGAATATTTAGTGAGTATTCATAGCTATTTTTACAAACTAATATATTATTAGTGATTTACTTAAGATTGTATAGTTTTCTCAAAGGACAAAGACAGTTAAAAATCAGTTTAAGGCTGTTATTTTAAACAATTGGTGGAGTTCAACAGTCTGATGCAATTACCATGTTAATTTAAAAACAAAATTTGCACAACCTCTGACAGTAACTGTAAAAAAATACTGATTTTTTAAAAACTTTGTAGTTTAAAGAATCAAAAGGAATGACAATGTTTTGAATTCACATTATGACAGCGAAGTAATTTATAGAAATATGAAATCTATTTGACTTTAAATGTTATGCTATAAAACAGCCTTTGTAGAACACAAATTTAAAATAAATCATTTCTTTTGGCAAAGTAACCTGCAATTTAATCTTTAGAAGAATAAATATACCACTAATGTTTTCCACAGAAACAGTTGCTACTCTAATTAAATCAAGATGTGACTCTAATCAGATTTCAAAAGAAAATCAGAAACAGATTTTTCTCTGAGGTAGTACTATGGACAAGGATAAGATATTTTTATTTTCATTTTTTATTAGAAACACTTGTCCCAGGTAAAGTTACAGGTTTGTAGTATATACCATGGAAATAACAACTCTGAAAGCATTATAGTAATGTTTTCAGAAGCATAGCAATTTTTAGTGTTTCAGATATCTGCTTTCTCTTTGGTTATAACTTATGTCACATTACATTTTATTAGGTAACCGTTATTAATTTTTGAATTTAGAGTGACTAATATGGCTAACTTTTTTTTTTTCTTTCTTTTCGTGTGGAAGGGAATGGAAAACCTGATGTTTGTCTACTGGTCCTGTAAAGTTATCTGGATAGTTCTTGTAACAATCCTGGGTTATGCCAGCAGCCTGCCTGTGGGGGAGGATGCTCTTTGCACAGCAGAGGAACTTGCTAAGTACAGGATAATCTTCACAGGGAAATGGAGTCAAACTGCTTTCCCTAAGCAGTACCCACTCTACAGGCCCCCAGCACAGTGGTCATCCTTGCTAGGTAAGTGAAGTATGCACAGTACTAAGAGCACATAAGCCTCTTGACCTGTGTGCTCTTTTTTTCCTTAATAGTTATGTAAGATAAGTAATGAAAAAGGGGGGGAAAAAAGGCCAAAGTTATTAAGAATGAAATGCAGATATTGAAGTATCCACAATGTTCTCAAAAATCTCCAACTGTTTTCAATCGACTTCTGTTTTCAATTGGCTGCAGCTGAAAGAAGCAGCGATAAGCCAAATGTTTTAGTGTTCACTCAATTTTATACACTTTTTTTTAAACCTCAGAAATAAAAAAGAGAAAATGAAGAAACAGGGACATTCTAAATCAGACTTTTATGTCATGCCATGTATTCACTCAAATAGGTGTTACTCATAGTTCTGACTACAGCATGTGGAAAAAAAATGAATATGCCAGCAATGGTGTACGTGATTTTGCTGAAAAGGGTGAAGCATGGGCATTAATGAAAGAAATAGAAGAAGCTGGAGAAAAAATTCAGAGTGTACATGGAATCTTCTCTGCTCCTGCAATTTCCAGTGGTACAGGACAAACCTCAACTGAATTAGAAGTGCATCCAAGACATCCCTTAGTAAGTAAATGTACATACTCATTTCAAAAGCTTATTTTATGTTACCAGCAACCAAAATTAAATATTTGAGTTCTCACTTGTAGAAACAACATAATGAAAAAGAATTACTAAAAAGCACGTCACATTGCAGAGAGCACTGTACAGCTTCTATAAAGTAGAAGAGCAAAATGACATTATTTCAAAAGTAGAAGAGCAAAATGACATTATTTCAAGAACTTTAAGTGAAAATTACTATAAGCAGGACTGAAGCATTTCAAAGCAAGTGATGCAATCCTGATGGATCATTTTGTTTCATTAGGTTTCATTTGTTGTACGAATTGTTCCAAGCCCTGACTGGTTTGTGGGTATTGACAGCCTAAATCTTTGTGAAGGAGACCACTGGATGGATGAAGTATCAGTAGATCTATTTCCATATGATGCTGGAACTGACAGTGGATTCACATTTTCCTCCCCAAACTTTGCCACTATTCCACAGGACACAGTTACAGAGGTAGGTGCATGGACAGTAGTCTAAAACTGTGAAACTGATTTCAGTATTTGAGAGTGCTGATGCTCTCTATATATGGATTTATTGTACAGCTGATAAATCTACTGCTTTTGTTTATCTTCTGTATCATTGAAATTTATATAGGTAAATGTAAATGGTTCATGAGAATTTTTCTCTACATTTTCTGGAAAAGCTGACTATTTTTTTAGACGATATTTAACAACCCTTAAAGTGCCAGGAAAATGAAAATACAAAAGTCCTGACATCACCAAATGTGAATCTAACCAGGAAAATTCTTAGTAGTGAATACGGCTGTGAGGAGGAGTTTTCAGTTGAAAGCACTACCGAAACCTGAAACTGTTACATTTGTGGGAAATGACCTAAAGGAAAGCAGAAAACTTCGCTGTGGTGGCACTGCTTCCAATCCCTTTTGCTCATTTCATCCTCTCTATGCCCTATTCTTTGCTTTTGCCATTTAAGAGTGGTAAATGAGTGGCAAACGAAGGATTTTGATTCAAATGGTTTGAATAGTATGAGTATTCACTTAATCCTTTTTTAAAGGTGAGTTTTTCTAGCAGCAAATGCTGTGCTAATGAGTAATGAGGAAAGGAAGAGAGAAGCATTTGGCCTCTCATATCCATATGGCAATTCCTATAGCAGACTTAATATTATTGCTTAATACTCATGTGTTCTTTTTGTAATAACTTCCAGTCCCTTCTGTCAAATCCTTTCATACTTTAGTGTGTTTGCAGGACCTCCTTCTGTATCCAGTCAAGTATCCTGCATTAAAAATTCTGGGCTGACCAGCATAGTTATGTGAAATGAGGTTCATACAAAATGGTTGTATGCAAACTATTTGCCAAAAAGTATTAGCATGATTTACAAACATGATTTTACAATTACCTTCTTAGCTTTTTTTAATATTCTCCTTTTTATTCCACAGATCACTTGTTCCTCTCCAAGTCACCCAGCAAACTCATTTTATTATCCCAAACTCAAAATTTTGCCACCAATTGCTCAAGTAACATTGGTGAAATTAAAGAAAAGCCAGCTAGGTCTTTCTGCACCTTTTATTAATCTTCCAGCTAAAAGCAATGAAATAATAGACACTGGCTCAGGTAAGTGATTAGTAGATGTTCTCAACTCTGTTATTTCCATTCACTCAGAAGTATTTGGAAATCTGGCAGGTGATGTGGCTGAGACAGGTGATCAGGATTCCCCTATCTGCATAGGAATCATTTCAGAATCACAAAGGGAAATAAAACAAGCCAGTCAACATAAAAGAATTCCTGAAAGAATAAGTAAGGGATTGCATGTTTCAGCTGTGGTTCAAAGGACTGGGCTATATCCAGAGTAAGAGCTACCCAAGCCTTTGTATCAGTGTAGCTCAGTGAATTTTATAAGAAACAAATGACACTCAATCAGAATCAGCATTCCCAAACTCTTTGCAACTTTAAAGTAAATGCTCATCCTTAAGGTTTTACATGACAATGAAGCCAAGAACCATTATTGCTGTCTCTTTCTAGGTCACAGCTTGGCAGTTATTTGCAATAAAATTTATACAATTTGATTGATTTTGACAGATTTTCCATAGAAACATAAATCCTGATAACAAAAATAAAGTTCTCTCATTTTCATTTTCTCAAAAATATTAGCTAATAATCTTGAATAGGTAGGGAAACATGCAAACTACTGACTCAAGTCAATCATAAGGGTGATTTTCAAATCTTTGAATTAAAATTCATAGATTATTAACACAATATTTGCTCCAAGGGAGCAATATATTCCCAAAAGAGTTGCTGTGTTCCAGGAGCTTCTCCAGAATGTCTGGAGGTGGCATGTCTCTAACACTGTGCTGGTCACCTTACAACCACTAAAATACAGCTCATTCTCTGCCCAGTTAATGTGTTATTCATAATTTAATAAATGTACTTATCAATTTATAGTGGTTTAATGTATTTCTATTAGTAAACAAGACATATCCAAAGTGAGAGTTACACATCTCATTTACACTTATATGTCCTTCCCTTAAGATTTGAAAGGAACATTTGGCACTGTTCATGATATAAATTTAAAACTGCATTTAAAGTATAGTATTTAAAAAATAATTTTTAATAACAAATCCCCACTTTCTTGTATATGAACCAGTAAATCACTTTGTTTAAAAACTTATTCTGGAATCAAAAGGGCAGATTTAATTACCAGAGGTAAAGCAGTGTCCCTCATTGCCTCTAGAAACATAGAAATGAGTGATGACAGCAGAAGTGGTGAGTTCACTGTAATACCAGAAATTTATACCAGGTGTCACACATTTAGTGTGGCATTTAAAGATGGCCTTGTGCTCACCTCTTTTACCCACAAATATTGTAACAGGCAGTTTTGATACCACTTCCTTTGACAAACAGTATTTTAGTTTAAACTGCTAAGGAATATTCACCTTCTTTTTATGATTTTTATTTTTAGAGAGAAGCATACATTATGGATAGTACTTCAGAGTTTCTTTTCTTGCACCGAATAAAAACTACATTGAAAATCCTTTCAGCATTAGAAAGCTTCTAGTGATAGAATATCCGTATTGGCAAAGGGAAGAGTAGTGTACACACCAAAAAATAGCAAGGTGATTTAATGATAAAAAATGGGGCTTTATTTCTGAAGCAAATTAGAGCAGAAGAAAAAGAGAATTCAATATGAACAACTCTAGGAACAATAGCTCCCTGCAAAGAAACATAAATATACCTAAATAAACCAGTGAAAAGCTTTAATCTCAGTGTTTTAGCCATACAAAGGAAAATGAAATTATAAAAATTGATAGTAAATGTTTTTTATTCAATCTTTTGAATACAATCATTTTAAGCTTAGTCTTCTTTTGAGGAATTCTGTATTTTCATTCAAAACATAATATGCTTCAGTACTGATACAATACATCACACAGGCTCTAGACTGCAATAACAATAATACCAATGAGTTTAGAAGTTGAAACCAGATTTTTTTTTTTTTTAATTTATGAGACGACATACCAATTCAATTGATATCACATGTATTTTGTGCAAGAAAGGATGCTGTTTGATGATCATTCCTCAATGCTTTTCCAGCTGTGTCTTTGACTTAAGTACAACTTGATGTAAAGTCACCTCTTTGCTGTGTGTATTGCAGAAACACCCCTGGACTGTGAGGTTTCCCAATGGTCTTCCTGGGGGCTCTGCAGAGGGGTTTGCAGAGAAACAGGGACCAAGATCAGAACTCGTTTTGTACTTCTTCAGCCGGCCAATAATGGAATGCCTTGTCCAAACCTGGATGAAGAAACAGGATGTGAACCAGAAAATTGTATCTGAAATAAAGGAAAGATAATGATTAAGATAATTTAAAAGTAGGATAAGTTTAAATCTAAACTACACATCAAGCAATGTTCTTTATAATTTGGATATGCTGCATGCTTTTGCTGAAAAGCTGCATTAGAGTGGTTTGGAAAGTTTTATTTAATATCAAGATTTTGGGGGGTTAAATTTCTGAGATTTAGTAGGACAACAGTACTGGATAATTTACAGACCAAAACCCCCCAAATAAATCTTCCTCCAAATACACTATAAGTTCTTGGAGTACCCTCTAGTGGCAGAAAAGAAGACATTTGGAAAGATTGTACTTCACATTTTTACTTCACAGTAAAAATCTTTCAATCACAAAATCTAAACTAATAACCTACTTAAATAATGTAATTTGTTTATCTATAGATATTTATACCTAGAAAATAGGTTTTTTTCTCTAAATTATGTTTTTATAATTTATTGGCATTTTTGTTTTCTTTCTAACCTTGCTTAATGTGCATTTCTTCAGAAACTACTTACAAAGGTCAGAGTGACCAAATGTTTGCAGTGTGGTTAAGACAATAATGGAATTGAGTAAACATGTCTTGAGACTTTTGAATATATGAAAATGTCTTTTTCTTTCTCAAAAGTGAGAAAAATAACTGCCATGAGGACACTTAGCCAACAAAATCACTAGAAAAAAAATCTGAAGTGATGTAGAAAACATCTGCGCTGAATTAAAAGTGAATTAAAATCATTCAAAAATGGATTGTTGGTCTGTGTCCCTCATGAGACACCCTTAATCTCAAAGTTAAAACTGTTGACCATAACATAAATTATATCATTAACCTTATATATGCAGTAAATGTGTCCATGTTTCTTTATATGTGTTTGCTGCTCTTTGTGTGTATATTACCTAAAATTAAGGCATGCATGACTCTAACAAAACACATATCAGAAACTGTTCCTGACTGCAAGTTTTAATGTTCAAATAACTTATAAATTGAATGTAATATATGGCTTGTGGCTACCAATTAGGAAAACAACTTTGGAATAATACTTATTCAACAGAAAAAGTTTAAAGTCAGCTCACAAAACTTTTACAGTGCACTGCAATTTTACAAATATACAGCACAGGTATTGAACAGGAGAGTTGATTTAAATGATTCTTTCTGGACTATGCCAAATCCAAGATAATTTCTCTTATCCTTAAAGGAAAACACTGTATTCTTCATAGGGCTGAAACATTTAAACATTTCTCTGTATTTTTTTTTTCCAGGAGAGATATCTTGCAAAGACACAAATAAATGTGAAACTTTATCAGACTAGAATTCACTGATTCAGCAAATGCTGATAAACACACAGTTGTTAGAACTAAGTGTAGGAATTTCTGCTCTTTCCTCATTCTTCAGATTCCCACTGTTGTCTGTTGTTCAAAATTGTCCCACTTACTCCTATTATCATACCTATTTTTTTAAGCTCCCACTATGTCCACTCTAAAATGGGAGTTACTACAGTATTCTGTGTTTAGTTCATTGTCAGTATTTTTATTTCTTATTTTTATATTAGTTTAAACCATTCTTTATGTTCTGTTACACTTATTCACTACCTATTTACACATTTATCATAATACCAGAAAACATAAGCATATATTGTAGTATATATTTAAATATTCTCAGAAGGAGCTAATTTCAAATTGATTTGTCAAGAGACAAATTAAGCTCAATAAAGTTTTTGGGCAGACATCAGATTCAATTCTAAATTATGCCTTAGGACAAACAAACTCAAAACCCACAAGGTATCCTTTGAGATACTTTTCTGGAAGTTCTCTAAACACTACAATTTTTTTTTTCTTCACATGCCCAGAATAAATAAAGGCTCAGGCCCAGTAAAAGAATACCTGCATTTTCAATACCTGCATAATGCAATAACTTGCATTTCCATTAACATGACCTGAAACTGGGATTTCAATCCTACAAGATTTAATTTGAGTGGAGGAGTCCCAGTGTTTGCTCAAACTCCTGGAGACAAAAGTTTTCCAAAGGATACTGAAAGAGATAGGATGAGATAAGGACATGGAGTAGAAAGAGCAGAAACCAACACACCTCAGAAAATTCCATTCAGTGATATGTAACTTTACTATCTTAGGGTGTTTACATACATGAATATTCACTGTATCTTCCTTCAAAAACAGAAGTTTCCCATCCAGCCAGTTACCTGGATATGGGGTTTTTTGTAAGATGTAAATTCAGCAGACCTTGGTAAATATATTCTTTAAGGATGCCCCTGTGCCTGTGTATTGCTTGGCCAGAAATATAATTCCAGGTATTCCCTTTGAAACCACAGGGATGGAGCCATTACTTGGCAAGACTGTGGATACAGTGAATGAAATGCATTTTACTGATGGAGCACATTTCTCATTGTATTTATCTATTAAGCTGATTAGTGAGGTGCATTATCCTTGCACAGATATTGCTACGACTTTGTAAATTCAGCAGGCTTGGAATTCCATTAAAATTCTGGGACCAGGAAGAAACACAGAGAAGCTCTTCCTTCCTTTTCCCTTGTATCTCATGTTACAGATGGTTGGCAGCCAAGATGCTGAGGTTCTAAATGCATGAGATTTAGGGAAGGAAATAGGCAAATTAATCCCAGTTTTAAACTAATCTCAGAAAGCACTTTGGAAAGAAGCTTGAAATGGATTTGTAAAGACAATTCTTTTACAGAATATCTTATAGAAGGAATCAGTTTTGATGCCCTGGCAGATGTTCTTGCAGAAGGAAAGATGCAGTTAATGTTAAAGTGCAGCAACAAAAAAGTCACTACAGAATTAAACTGTGGTCCTACAAAAATAATCCACATGAAATTAAATTCCTATAATGGAATAAGTGAAAAAAAAAAAAAAAGATCTGAGAGTATCTGATGCTATTCAAGGCAAAAAGATTAATCTCATTATATTCCCAGTCCCAGGTAATTGAAGTACATTGGGAATAACTGATCATGAATGATCCAACATAATAAAGTAACTCAGACTATTCCATGACAACACTCTCAATAAATAAATCTAAAAATCAGTACAGCAATTCTGATATCAGCCAGATGTTGTTCAATGGGATTTTTGCAGTATGCAGAAGTTGTGTCCATGACAATTTATGGAACACTGAATGCCTGAGACAAAAGCTCTTATTATGCTTCACGATTACCTGATTACATGGAGACTGAATTATTTTTGTTTGCTTGAATCCAGCAGCCCTAATATACCAGTATTTACTAGCCAAATGTACAGAAGAAATGTGTCTGTTCCAGTGGGTCTGGGCAGAGTGAAGGATAAACCTGTGTCACCTTGTATATCTTGTGTTCTACCACTGGAACTCAGAACTTTGGAAGCCACAAGTACTCAACAATAAGATTAAAAAGATGATAGGTCAAGTACCTCACAACCTGCAGGCAAACCTGTATTTCCTGCAGGTATGAGTATGGCATGAGAATTTATGCAGGTGCATGACAGTCAACATCTCCTGTGGTAGAGGGGCAAAAGTCCAATGTTATGATGAGGTCCTGTATAATCAAAAATCATTTCTGATGGATAAGTGCTGAAGTAGTAAAGGAGTCCTAAGATCCCCCTTGACATTCCTAAAGATACAACAGCCATGAGATGCAATTTTTATCCCTCTATCCTTACCCATATGGAGTCAAAGAAGTAATGTGTAAGGAATCCGTTCTCTTTGTCTGACAGCCTTTCAATATGGGGAGGCTGATGGGTGATTTTTGGAGGTGCTACAAGTATTAGTTGTAGTACAAGTATTAGCTGGGAGTGAACCCAGGATGGTCCAAAGCCTGTGCCAGTGTAACACAGACATTCCTTTATTGAGACAACTTCATAGATGGCAGGTGCAGTGAAGGGCAATAAACACGAATCAGTCCTTCTTCTGCAGATGTGAAATCCAGTAGGAGTTATCATCTCAAAAATTTTATTTAGGTTACAGATATTGAAGATGAAGGGCTATTCACCCTTCTTCCTTGATACAAGAAAAATATGTGCTCTTGTGTAATTGGGATAACATAAATTTTATGAGGACAGATGGGCCCTCCCAACTGGAAATGATCCCACAGGTGGGTTCTCCCTGCTGGAAAATGGCCATTCAGGCCCACTTTTCAGACAGAGTGATGTCCATTTACAGGACAAGGAACACTTGAGTGATAAATGAGTTTGTCATCAGACATACACATTGGTCTATATTGGTACAAAGAATAAAAATAAGAACCTCAATCACTGTTTAATTTGCACTACAACTTTCTTCAAAGAAAGCATTAGGAAATATCTAAGAAATAGTGATTCCTATATAAAAAAATCTTATTCTGAAAGTGTTAATGTTGTTATTTTTCCCTGCAATATCATATTCACTAATTTTATTCGATTATTTAATGGATTATTTGATTATTCAAGTTCCTTTGACTTCTTTATAATTCTTCTATATAGTGTCTGTGGGTTTTAATCAGGTGCCTACATTTGTACAATGATTTAGGATGGAAATTAAAAGCTTCCTTAATAAAAGAGAGGTGAAGCTCTGGAATAATCACACAGAATTAATGGGAAATAATAAATTCATTTAAGTTGAAAATTGAGAAGTTTATTGAAAGAGGTAGCCAGTGTAGTTGCCTACAGGGATCTAGGGAACTGATCTCAAGCACCTGAGAGACCCTTTCAGTTTCATGCTGTTCTAAGATATAAAATAAATTTTAATCTAGATTCTGGGAAAGAAGAAAGAATTTAAAAGGTGTCTTTTCCATGTTATCTCATTCTCCAGAACATGCTGTAGTTATTTATAAATGTGTAACCACCAGCTGCCTTTTCTCACAGTTTTTTTCCTCTCTCAAAAATACTCTGATAAGCAGCAAAAAAGGAACAACCACAGGACTACAGGCATTTGTATGTAACAATCTTCAAAAGCAATACAGCAGGGAAATATAAAAAACATGAAAAGCAAATTAATAGGATTTCTTATGAACTTTTGGATTTCTTTTTCACTCGCTTTGTATTTTCACACTGGAGAAAGAGAAGAGAAATGCATAATTGAAGATATTCCCAGCGACACCTTGGTAGTTGGTGGGTACCTGTCAATGCTTTATGATGATCTAACCCATGCACTTACAAAGATAACTGGAAATGTAAGGCAATTTCTGTGATTGATGAATATGGTAAAAAACCTGAAAAGGGCATTTTGAAAATAACTCCCTGCAGCAGGAATTAGGTTTAAAGTCCTCAAACATTGTGTGTATCCATCACACAAAGAAATGCAGGTTTTCAGAGTGCTTTACTGACTAAACAGAGAAAAAGAATGTTTTTTTTTATTCCACAGCTGTTGAACTGCTGCTTCCATGTGTGTTTCTGCACGTTC